GGGGGGAGAGAGAGAGAGAGAGAGAGAGAGAGAGAGAGAGAGAGAGAGAGAAAGAGTCTAATCGAGTTCGCGATTCTTTTTCTTTTTGTTTCTTTCGTTTATACGTGAAAAATCAGAACGATCGAGGCACATGGTTAAGAGATTGGCGCAATTTGTTATATAGGTATCGATCAAGTTTTCTCCTTCGTGAAACTCGTGTAATTTGAATAATCGTTGGATTAACCGGCTCAAATTAGCTTTTTTTTTTTGCTTCGAGAAACGTTCTTTGCCTCAATAAACGTCGATCGCGGTTTAATTAACCTATCTCGCGATTTTGAAAAGAATATTCGAAGATCGAAACTCGCGCATGAAACGCAAAAAATGAAGAATAATAAAATTTTTACGCTTTTTACGTTTGAACGAAGAAAAAAGATCGAAATGATGATCTTTCTTCTCTTCCTTTCCACTTTCTGGATGAACATCGCGGCTTAATTAACCTAAGAACGAATCGCGATTTTGAGAAAAGAATCTTTGAAGAGAGGTCGAAATTCGCCCATGAAACGCGAAAGGTGGAGAATAATAGAATTTCCACGGCTTTTACGTTCGAACGTGAAGAAAGAAGGAACCGTGGTCGAAATGATGATCCTCCTCCTTCTCTCCACCTCCCCCCACCCTTTCGTAGGCGTCCCGCGTGCCTACGTGCCGGTGTGCGCACTCTCGACGCGAGTGCAGAGTCCCCTTGCACACGTGGCCCCGGACGCGACGCGGAGAGTCGGGCGGCGTACTCGAAAAGTCGGCGAGAGCACAGGACGATCCGGTCGGGACTACTACTACCTATAGGCGCCTGTGCAACCTAGAGTCCGCGCGATTCAGCCGCGACTATAGTGTTTAACAAACGTGCACAGCCAGTTCATTCGCGACCGGCAGCCGGGCTGCACGCTCGGAGAACCTCTTTGTCCGCCGAGTCTATAAATAATTCGCGAGAAACCGAGATCCTGGAGAACGCGAGTCGATCCCACGTCTTTTTCCAAACTTTATCCACCTCGTGATCCGTTTCGCGTTCCTTCCTTCCTTCCTTCCTTCCTTCGTCTCTCGATCAACTGTTTCCAAGGGGAGAGAAAGAGAGAGAGAGAGAGAAAGAGAGATTCTTTGTTCGGTGGATCCTTGGATAACGCGGATCGACGATGCCTGATACCGCTACTACCACCACCTCGGATCCATGGCGGAGGTAGAAGGTGCGAAAATGTGAAAGGAGAATTTTCTGGCCGTTTCGAGCTGGCCGAGGACCGAGAGAGGAGAGGAGAAAGTGTCTCGAACGGGCATTTTGCCTCTCGCGATGACGCGTGGCCCGTGATTTGACGAGAATAGGAAATTTTCGTGCGTACGTGTATATGTGTGTATATGTGCGTGCGCGTACAACGTCTAATTATAAACATGTTGGGCTGGTGGATAGTGTCTACCCATGAAGGTTCGTTTCCCCGCAACCATGTCGAATGAACGATCCCTGAACGGATCCGAATCGAACGAAAAGTTTGGAAAAGTCGACGCGGATGATGACAGAGCCGCGATCGATCGAGCATGAAATCGATGGAAGGCGAAGGGACGCGAAGCGAAGTGAACAGTGAGCGTCTCGCGAAACATGAACGGGGCCCTCGACCCGCTCGATCCGCTTTGCAACCGGTCCTCCATCGTCGCCATTCCGAACGATCGACAACGAAGATCGCCTCCAACGATTCAACTCTGAATCAAAAACACATCAACTCGAGATTGAGATGGAAAAGGTCGAGATATAGGTTGGATTCCGTGGTACGAATCGGTGAATA